CGGCAGTGCGCCTCTTCGCCGACCACGCTTTCAGAGGGCATGTCTCTCTCTCTTTCTCGATCTTCTTCTAGCTGAGGAGCTTTCAAAATCAGTGAGATTTTGGGTGAGATGACGGACCAGGAAGGTGACGATGCAAAAGATAGAAAGTGGAAAAATAGAAAACTGTCCACGAGCTCTGTTGTTGACTCTTCGAAAACAACAGAGCAGCAGCGGCAGCAGTAACGTCAAGCTCGACCGCCAGGCGTCGCCAGCAGCAGCAAAAAGCTTGCCTGAAACTTTTCCAGCGACCTGCTTTTCGGCAACTTTCTTTTCGTAGATNATAGCAACAACTCGTTCAAATTCACTTTAGGTTCTTCTTCTCTTCTAGGGCAGCATCTCAAAAGACGCCCTCTTGCTCGCCTTCCTATTGGGAATCGTTCCATTCTTTTTCACCCCTTGGAGAGTTTCAGCCCCAGCCTCGCCCTCCTCCTCTTCCTCCTCGTTGCAGTAGGCGCCATACTTGACGGTGCCCTCGGGGTTCAGCCGACAGTTGTTCGCCACCTCAAGACCTCCTCCTGCCCTCGGAGGCGGATTTCGCAGCGCAAACATCGCCGGCACAAAGAGAAAGCAGACGAAGGCGGTGGTGGTGCAGAGGCCGCCAAAGCCGAACCGGAGGACGCCGGAGAGGGCAGGACCGATGATGTAGCCGACGCAGAGAGCTACGAAGAAAAAAGAGAAAAGGTCAAATGTTTTCAAAATAGAACTCGAAAAAGCCAAAGAGCTCTCTCAACAGCGAACTGACCAACATCGCCGATGGCGTAGACGCTGCCGTAGACGGAGCTGTGGCGAATGTCCACCAGGTAGCCGAGCATGGGCATCATCGAGGAGTCGACCATGCCGATGGCGAAGCCGATCATCCCATTTGGTATGATCAGGCCGGCGAGCGAGGTGGCCATGGGAATCTGCCAAATCAAAACGGAAAACAAATACCTCATCAAAACTCAATTTCGAAATAAAATGATCAGCAGCTTACACTGAGCAGCGCCAGGGCGATCATGACCAGACCGAGGAGCGAGGACAGCCAGCGGCCGATCCGGTGGCCCAGCGGCCCGAAGACGTTCGTCCCCACCAGGTAGGCGACGGAGGCGGGGAGGAAGGCCGCCCCCTGCTCCCAGTTGTTCGAGCCCATGGTGTCCATCATCCAGAGCGGGAGGGAGGGCTCCAGCATGGCGATGCCCGCATTGGCGAAGGTAATTGCTCCCGCGGCGATGGCGATGTACGGGTCGCGGATGAGGGTCAGCAGGGAGGGGCCGGCCACCTGCTCGCGCNGGAGGCGGGGAGGAAGGCCGCCCCCTGCTCCCAGTTGTTCGAGCCCATGGTGTCCATCATCCAGAGCGGGAGGGAGGGCTCCAGCATGGCGATGCCCGCATTGGCGAAGGTGATCGCCCCCGCGGCGATGGCGATGTACGGGTCGCGGATGAGGGTCAGGAGGGAAGGGCCGGCCACCTGCTCGCGCACCACCTCGGGCTGGAGGACCAGCAGCTGAAGACCTGGGGAAGGAGAAGAGGATGATGATCGTCAAATTTCGAAAACCTCGAACCCTCTTCGAAAAGCTAATCCTAGCTCATCATCGAAAACAAACTCACAGCCGTCCAGCAGGGCGAGCAGGGCGAGGGTGATAAAGGGCGAACTCTGCCCCACAAACTGGTACATCTAATCAGGGGAGTCAAATTAGAAGATAATGAACTCAAAATCTCTTCTCAAATCCTTACCATGCCCCCAAAGGGCGGCCCAATCAGCACGCCCAGCGCCAGCCCGCCCAGGGCAATGGCCATGCAGTTGCCCCGTTCCCGGTCGTCGGGGTACTTCTCCGCCAGCATGCCCATGCCGGCGACGGAGGTAAAGGCGGAGCCGACGCCCTGCATTGACC